GCCGATGGAGGCAGGGGGGGACAGACGGACCCCGAGAAAAGCCATTGGACGCAAGTGGGCCACAGTGGGGCCGAGGGGAAAACATTGTAGACCAAGGGGGCTATGTGGCATAGGATGCGAGCCAACGGGCTCGGTTGGCCCCCGATGGAAGCCCCTGGACACTCCAGTGCCACCACGAGGAATCACATGGGTGCCCCGCGGGGCCGCGATGGAGATGCCCATTCCAGGCGCAACGAACTCACTGGGCGACAACAGAGTTCAAGGGATCCAGACGAAATTATATAACAATTGCTTTCCTCATGGGGCCAGGTGTGCCTCTAGAGCCCCGCGCGGCCCCTTGGAGCCCGATGGGCCCGCTGTGGCCCAGTGGGCACCGCTGAACTGAAAACTATTGAAGGGGTCGGGGTTGCAAGGGCATCGGTGACCACTGACATGCAGCTTCCGCTGCAGTTGGAGACAAGCCCTGGCTGTTGCCACGAGAGGTAAATGTGCAAAACACTAAATCAATCAACGCCGTGCCTTTCTGGCGCGCAGGCAAGCGCGCCCAACTGGCCGTAGTGGGGCCCGAAGCAACCAACTCGAAACTAATGGGTTCGCATTGAACCTTGGCGCACAACGCCAGCCTTACTTTCAGGCCGAGGCAGCGAGACCTCACCTCAGGGCATCTTAAGTCTTCTCATCGAGGACCCGACACGCCACAACCCCTCAGACCCCATCTCTGAACCGCGCATCTCGTCGAGGCAAAGCCAGCGTGGCGACGGGGCCGCACAGCAAGCGGATAGTTTGAACGTACCTACAGCAGCGCATGAGTGAAGTATCCATTGGCTCCCAAGTCTGTTCGCACATACCAGGCGGTGCGAGTTGCCCATGCTGCAAGAGCATATCAAGCGAATCCACCCAACATCTGTTACTTGTTGGATTGTAAGCTTCCATTTCTGAGCGCGACCAGTGAGGGGGACGGGGTGTCTGGAATAGCCCCGGAGACGGGGCTCCAATCAAAATTTCTGCCCAAAACACAATTCATTTTAGTCTAAGACGGCTCGAGGAAACCCACTGACGGACCAAGTCGACCAAAGACGGCCCAAGGCAACCAACGGCAATTCAAAGCACGAGGTCATGACGCCCAAGACGGCCCATGTCAACCCAGGGTGGCCGCATGCCTCTCACATTTCGACCTCGCTCTTGACATCCTGCTTGCTCCTCCTCACATTTCCTCCTCCGCCCTCATCCTCATCCGTCGTCCTCCCTCCTTCACCCTGGCTCCATATTCCTTCCTCCTCACTCATCATCCCTCCTCCTTCTCCCTCCCGCAGCTTCCCTCCCCACCCCTCCTTATTCTACACCCCTCCACCCTCCAATCTTGGATCCAAACCTGATCGTCCGCGGTGGCTCCTTATTGTGGAGCTCGATGTCCGCGCCGCCGACCACCCTCAGCGCCGCCCGCGCGTCCTGGCACCCGGGGAGCGCGGCGGCTGCGAAGGCGTCCAACTCGATGAGGTCGACCGGGGTGAACTTCGCGATGGCCTTCTCGACGACGTCCATGAGCTCCTGGTTGCTGTCGAAGCCCTTCTGGGTCAAAGGCTGGAAGACTTGCTCGGTGAACACGTGCGGGAAGAGGGCGCACTTACCAGGCATGTCCAGCTCGATGGAAATCACCTTGGGGTACTTCGGTTCGAATGGCGGAATATCTGGCAGCGTTTGATTGTCCTGGCCCTCAGGGACTGAAGCCCACGGCGAAACCACATCGAGCAATGTCTCGACCTGCTTGCGATCCCCCAACACTTTCAGATAAGACGCCAACAACTTCTCCTTCGCAGCCAGAGTCCACGCGATGCTCTGCGGAGCCACCAGCTGGTCGATGGCCCTCAAAAGCTCGTCCCTTTCGCGCGCCAGGATTTTGTTTGGAGTCATGCTCTTTGCGAGCTGCACAACGTTGAAGAAAGTATTCAGGATGCGGCCCTCGGACATCTGCGAATGGTCGGGGTTCCTGCGTAACCTGCCCGCCGCCTTCACCGCTGCTGAAACCGCGCGGCCATCAGTAGTGCCACTCAGGACTGCATTGATAGGGATCTTCGACTTCCAATACTCCAGAGGGCTCGCGCCGCTATCTCACTGAGGAAACGCTCTACTGCAAACCCAAAGGGCATCATCATCTCACGCGTTCCCCTTCCTCATCTTCCTCTCCTCCCCACCAATGCCCCAGAACAATGGGGCACGAACGGATGGGGCGGGGGAGGAAGAGGGGCAAGCTGACTGTGAAGAGGCTGAAAGAATGGGGATGCTGCCCATTGGAATTGCATTGCGTTTCGGTTGCCGCTGGCACCTGGTCCAGCAGCCGCCCCCGCCGATAGGTCGGCACCAACGTTGGAGACAGAGTCCTCCACATCGATGCCAGCACTACCCACAGGGCTATCGTCGGCCAGGCCCACCGGCGAAAGTCTCGAAGATGCGGGCGACTTCCCTGCTGCTGCAGGCGACGCCGGAACGGTTGGCGGTGCCATCGAGGCAGCAGCTGGCCCCGAGAGATGCTCGCGCGGGGCGGTGGCAGGGGCATCCGTCAACTCGCTGGCCGCGGCCGCCTGATTCGGCTCTGCAGTCGGCTGCCCGTCACCTGCAACTTGAGCTAAGTACTCGGCGAGCGTCTTCAAGTTTTTCAGATTGTCCTTGCTCAGCACCTCCTGGACGCTAGCCTCCATCATGGTTTCGTCGACGACGTGCTGTGTTAACAACTTCGCTTGCCCATCCCAGACGCAGTCCTGAGCTGGCATGACGCACCCTGCGTCGATGAAGCTTTTCTCGTGGGGGATATTCGCGAAGCGGCAAGGCTCGTTGGGGTCCGAGAAGAAGTAAAAGTCGACAGTTTGCGTGCCCCCGTCCACAGGGGGGGTCACAACAGGAATGTTTTTTGTTTCCACCATCTCTTTAGTGAGCCGCTGTTTACCAGTAGCCTCGGCCTCGTCCAAGATCATGTAGTTCTTGCCGATCACGATTTGCGTAGACAATGTCACCGCTACCTCATCCTGAACACCTGGTCCATCAGAGGTACCTCGGTGAGACTCTCTCGCGCTCTGGACCTTCACCTTGAAGTCGCCCTTGTCCTCGCCATGCGCGCTGACGAGCATATCCCAGGAGAGGGGCCCAAAGTACTTCTTATGGGTGGTGAAGCACTCCTCGCACTTCTCAGCCATGGGGACGTTCTCGATGCCAGACGCCTTCTGCACACTCTTGTAGAGATCCCAAGGGATGTTGTCCTATGGAAGGCATTATGACAAACATATACACTGATGTCGGTTACAGCCATGGGGCCGAATTATGACCTCGAATCGTTCGGTCAACACCCAACCTGTCAACGTTCATGAACAAACGATCCTGGCTCATCCTAAACTTTCTGAGGGTGCTTTCAGGATACTTCCCCAAAATGGCCCACGGATGCCAGAAACAATGTTTGTTTTAGAAGGTGAGCAACCGCACACGCGGCGAACCTGAAGTTTGCCATACCTGCTGTCCTTTGCCTTCTGCTTGCGCAATGCGCACTGGCACCTGTCACCCTGGGCTGTGCATGCTCGCTTCGGAGGTAGGGGGGATAGGTGGGGCCACTCCTTCGTCCTGCGTGGGGTGTGTTTCTCGCATGGGGTGTGTCTGCTGATAAAATGCACTCTCTTATCCTCTCTCCTTCCTCCTGCCTCCTATCCTCTCCTCTCCTCTCCTCTCCTCCTCTGCTTTGTTCTCGTGTCGGGGAAACGATTCAATCATATTGAATCATATTGAACCACCTGTATCGAAAGTATCAACAGTTCTAAAGACAAAAAAAAGACAAACAAAAACCAAAAAAGTGCTGACAGTTCAAAACAACAAAACATCAAGCGATTACAAAACTTATGCTGCCCCGTGGAGGCCCGCCCAAGATTCTTCGCCAGAATCTTGTTTTTTTTTTTACCTGTCTGGTATTTTTGTTGTTGTTGTTTGTTTGTCGTTTTTTTATTCGACCTGTCAGCCCCTTCCTGCTCCTCCTCCTCCTCCTCCAGGAGGAAATGCCACGCATTTCTAAAATCGTGTCCGTTGCACGTGTGGATGTTTGGATACCGCGTTCTATACACACCTATCATCCATCGGGAGGGAATGCCAGATGTAGAAATCCCGTATCTTTGATCCGAGTGCTCCTGACCCACCCCGCTAGGATTCTAGGGGGAAAGGTGGGCAGTTTGGCCCGGTCGGGGCTTGGCTCAGCCTTCGCCCGCCCGCTCGCGCGGAAGCAGCGGACGAAACCTGCATCCCTTTGGACACTCCCATAAGACGTGACGAACATTCTTCATTGTCCCTGGACGTGGTTCCTGGGGAGGAGGATTCCAGGCAGGCTACATCCCTTGTCGCCATGGCTGGATTCGCAGACTCGTCGCTCCAGGTCGGTCCTCCTTCCGCCCGTGTCCGAGGCGAGGTATCAAGTGTCGGCATTCGCTGCCGATGCAGTCTTGCTTGCTCCCGCGGGGGCTCGCAGGGGCCCTCTGAGGTTCCCCTCTTCTGTTGCTCGCAGGCGGCGTCTCTGTGGCGCCAGGGGTCCCAGGGCTCCGTGGTGGTTCGCAGGGGTTCTCTGAGGGCCCCGTCGCAGATGAGGTGGCGCCTTGGTGCCGCCCGTGGTGCCCCAGGATGGCGCTTGGCAGGACATTGCGTTGTCTGCAGGCCGTGGGCTTGTTGCTGGCTTCACCAGCGTCCCCGCCCTCCCTTCCTGGTGGGTCTGGTGCGTCGGCCAGCGGGGTCTCGAGTTTTCTGAGAGGGTCTCTCGAGCGCCCCAGGCTGGCCGCACCGAGTGTGTTGCCCAAAGGTCCGTGCGGGCGCACTGGACCACCCAGGGGGGAGGCAGCCCACTGGAATCTCCTATCGGCGTAGCATTCTGCGCATGCTTCTCACGGGGTCGACGGGAGAGTCAGTTTCGGGGCACATCGGTTCTGCAGCCGATCCCCTGGTCGAGCCAGGCCCCCCCCCCCGAAAGCCGCGGCGGCCAGGAGCGCCTCCTTCTGCGCCTCCCTCTGCGCCGAGCGCGTCGTGGCCGCGCGCCGGGAGCTGCAGCTCCGCATGGCGGAGGCGCGCGCGCCCTCGGCCACGCGCAGAGGGGGGTCGGGGGGGAGGGGGGAGGGCTCTCGAGAAGCACTGCTGCCTCTCAGAAGGCGCGGGCCCTCCCTGCAGACGCAGGGCTGGCGCTTTCTGAGGAGCAGCCTCTCCATCTGAGAGGCCTTCCCCCATCCCCCTGCCCCCCCTCGTGCGTGCCGCCCACGCCCGCGCGCGCACGCGCCCGCGCGCCCCCGCTCGCGGCTGGGATCGGCGGCGAGCCGGGGGGGGGGAAGCCTCACGAGTTTCAGGTTCGAGCGGTTTTCCGGCCTCGGCATGCGCTCCAGCGGCTGCGCCTCGCCGAGGGCGCTCTTGGGGGTGCCCAGACCGTGTCGAGCGGCCACCGGAGAGCCGAGTCGCGGCCGAGAAGCCTCCCTGCGTCCGAGAGGGGCCAGGCCCTGTCTGAGAAGGCTCGGGAGTCCCCCGGCCTTTCGGGAAGTTTCTGCAGCCTTCCGGAGGACACAGGAAGCTTCTCACCGGGATGACGGTGGGGGGTTCGAAGTGGATAGGGGGTTGCAAGTGGATGTTGAGGTGGGTTATGTCTGGCCCAACCTGGCTCAGAAGTGGGTTGCACATTGCCCGCGTGGCTCAGGGGGGTTGGATGACACCGCTCAGAGGGCGGAACCCACTTGGCCCGGATCGTTCACCCCCCTAAGCTCCTTGGGGCATTTGTAGCCCGCTTAGAAGCCAGGGTGGGCCTGATATAGCCCACCTTGGTATCCACTTGTAGCCCCCCTATCCAGTCAGAGACCCTCACGGCCACCACCCCAGCAGAAGTCCCACCGCCTTCTGGGGAGCCTTCTCCTCACTGCTTTCCCCCCTGGCTTGCTGCCAGGCCTGGAGTCGAGCCCTGCACCGGTTCCGGCGACCAGGCGCCGGCAGGCGAGGGAGCGAGAGTCGTGGGTTCTTACCAGCCTGGAACATATCATATCCCTATCCCTATGCTGGGCACCTCCTCATCACGATGCCAATCTTAAGGATTCCCTCATTTTTGGAGGGCGATCCCCTAAGATTGTCATCGCCTTTTGGCGTGTCAATCTTAAGGATAGGGATACGTTCGAGGCCGGTAAGGTTCGGGGAACGCTTTTCTTGTTGTCGGCCTCCGGGCTCCGTCTTCGGGCCCCGCAGGGCCGTCAGAGACGGATCTGGAGCGAGCAGCTGCACCGGGTGAGCCAGAGGGGCAGCGGCGCGCCGGCGCGCGGCGCGGCGGCTGGAGGGTCGCTACCTGGGCCTCCCTGGGGGGGGGGGCGCGTGCACGCCGGTCGTTGAAATGTCTTGGGGTGCCCAGAGCCTGATCTGCTTCGAGCGCCTGCCTGCTTCGATCATCGATGTGCTCTTGCTGGTTGATGTTATTCTCTGGGAGGGCTTGAACCCAATCTACTTGATCCGCCTTCCTACTTCATGCTTTTCCCTACTTGTTCCGTCTGGCGTTTAATGGGGGGGCGATACATGGGTGGTCAGCGAGAGCTGCCGACAAGGGCCCCTCTAGGGCCCTAGAGGGTCCCTAGACGGACCTTTTCCGGCCCAAGAAGAGGCCTTTAGGGCCCGGAGAGGGCGCCTCTCTTTGCCTCCCACTTATCGCCCGCCGTAGATTTGCGCCCAATTCCCTCATGAGGTCAGAGGATCCCGCCGTATCGCCAATGCATTGGCGATGCGGCTCGATGTGGAATTTGATGTTCTCCAAGCCGACGTCGCCGATGCGTCTCCGATGTCGACAAGATGCATCGCCGATGAATGGGCGATGCATCGGCGATGCGACGCGATCCTCCGACCCCATGCACGTAGACCGCATTGAGGAGGCCTCTCCCCCAGCACTTCTTCGTCGGCGGCGAAATCCGAACCCTGCCCTCACAGATCAAGGATTCGGCTGACTGGATGGGCATCGGGTGCAGGGTTCGGAGTTCGGCGAGCACGTGGCGAAGTCCAAGCCCTACACCCCCGCCTCCCAATCGATTCAGGAGGATCCGATAGTTGGTGGGGGTAGGGTTCGGACGTCTCCATTTGAATCTAAACCATTATGCGGTGTTGGGTCCTCGTTTTGAAGAGGGATCCCCGCGTCCACTCCTGTCCTCTCCGCCTCCTCGGTTTCTTGCCCCCATAGGGAGCTCCACCTAAGGCCCCAGTGGCTGCGCCCGATTGTCGCCACCCCCTCACTGTGGAACGTCCCTCACACGTTTCGTGGTCCCACTGGGAGCTCCACATAAGGCCCGCGAGGCTGCGTCCGCATGGCGCCACCCCCTCACTCTGGCACACCCCTCACACGCTTCGCTGTCCCATAGGGAGCTCCACCTACGGCCCCGGTGGCTGCTCCCGCATGACCCCCCCCTCATGAGGGCGCACCCCTCACACTTGTCGTGGTCCCATAGGGAGCTCCACCTAAGGCCCCGGTGGCTGCTCCCGCATGACCCCCGCCTCATTTTGGCACACCACTCACACTTTTCGTGGTCCCATAGGGAGCTCCACCTAAGGCCCCAGTTGCTGCGCTCGCGTGCCGCCCCGCCCCCCCTTCATTTTAGCACACCCCTCACTCGTTTCGTGGTCCCATAGGGAGCTCCACCTGAGGCCCCAGTGGCTGCGCCCGAATGCCGCCACCCTTTCATTTTGGCACACTCCGTTCCGGCTGACCTCCGCGCCCCCATGCGGGCTGCCACAGCGGCAGCGCCCGCGTGGCCGTCCCTTTCCCGCATTTCGCGGCTCCGTCGGGAGCTCCTTCGATGGCGGTTCTCACAACGGCGGTACCCACAGCTGCATATGGTTGGGTCTTTCGCCAGGACAACCGTTTTTAGATGTTAGCCACCGCGGGCCCCACACAGTAGGTTTCTAGCAATATATGGTGTGCAGCAAGTGTGGTGTGTTCTACGTATGTAATGCAGCCTACGTGGTGCAACCTATGTGGTACGATCTATGCTGCGCCGCCTATGTGGCGCAACATATCTTGAGCAATTGTTGACGCTTTGCGTATCCCCACCAGCCACCATCCCATCCGGAAACGATGCCCAGGGGAGTGGAGGTGATCAGGGAAGTTGGGGAGTTTTCAGAATAACAAAGAGCGGGGGAAGCCGTCCGATACACAAAGAGGGGGAAGATGGTGGAGGAGAAGGAGGAGGATGAGAAGGAGTAGGAGGTGGGTGAAGAGGAGGACGGAGGAAGAGACTGGACAAGGAGGAGGAGAAGTAGGAGGAGGAGGAGGAGGAGGAGAAGGAGGAGGAGGAGGAGAAGGAGGAGGAGGAGGGGAAGGGGCATCTTGGCAAGCCCAGGGCCGTCTTTGGGCGTCTTGGGTGCCTCGGGGATCTTCTTAAAGCTTTTTGGGGGCCTCTTGGGAGCCTCTTGGAGGCATCTTGGGCGCCTCTTGGGGCCGTCGGGCCGTTCTGGCGCCTCTTTGGGCCATCGTGGGGCGCATCTGGGAGCCTTGGGAACGCTATTGAGGCCATCCTGGAGGAGATCGATCAAAGAGGAGGGGTTCCCTATTTCGCCCCCCCCCACCACCCCCTGGGGAGCCCCAAACGTCGCTGTTGGGGCGTTTTTTGGGCGGCGCGTTTGGAGCGCTCTTGGGTACTCGTGGAGCCTTGGGGCTCTCTTGGGTCTCTCCTGGGGCCCTCCTGGGCCATCCTGGAGCCATCTTGAGGCCTCGGGTGGCCATTGGGAGCGAAAAGGCGAGAAAGCAAACCTTAGTGATGTTCCATATGTGTTTGAAGGCTTTTGGCTTCTTGGGGGCCTCCTTGGAGGCCTCATGGAGCCGTCGTGGACCGTTCTTGGGAGCCTCCTGGAGGCAGCCTGGGCGCCTCTTGGGGCCGTCTGGGCGCCTCTTGGGGCCATCTTGGGGCGCATCTGGGAGCCTTGGGAGCGCTGTTGAGGCCATCTGGGAGGAGATCGATCAAAGACGAGGGGCTCCTTAATCCGCCCCCGCTCCCTCCTGGGAAGCACCACACGTAGCTGTTGCGGCGGTGTTGGGGCGCTCTTGGGGCGCTTTTGGAGCGCTCTTGGGTGCTTGTGGAGCCGTCGTGGGGCTCTCTTGGGTCTCTCTTGGGGCTCTCTTGGGCCATCTTGGAGCCATCTTGAGGCCTCGGGTGGCCGTCGGAAGCGAAACGGCGAGAACGCACAACTTATCGATGTTCCTTAGGTGTTTGAAGGGCTTCTTGGGGGCCTCCTTGGAGTTCTCGGATGCCCCTTGGAGCCGTCGTGGACCGTTCTTGGGGCCTGTTAAAGCATCTTGGGGGCCATCTTGAGCTCAACTGTGACTCTCATGGGCCCTCTTGGAGCCGTCTTGGGCAATCTTGGATGCCCCAACGCCTCGCCGCCCCCCTCGTCCAGGTCCAGGGGAGGGGGGTAGTTGGAGGGGTCAAGACTCCCTCCCCGCCCGCAAGCCGTCTCGCTCACTCCCACCCGCCCTCCCAGCACATACGCAGCACCCGAGCCTGGCCCGAACCGCAGCATATGCAGCAGTCGTCTGTGGATGGGCAACCACTGGGGGCAAATCCGCCGCCGCCGCCGCCTCCGCCACCGCCGCCTCCGCCCGCCGCCGCCTCCGCCCGCCGCCGCCTCCGCCCGCCGCCGCCGCCGCCGCTGTCCGCCGCCGCCGCCGCCGCCGCCGCCACGGCGCCGCCCGCCGCCGCCGCCGCCTCCGCCCCCGCTGCCGAATCGCCGCCGCCGCAACCGCTGCCGCCGCAGCCGCTGCCGCCGCCGCTGCAGCCGCTGCCGCCGCCGCCGCCGCCGCCGCCGCCACCGCTGCAGTTGCCGCAGCCGCCGCCGCCGCCGCAGCCGCCGCAGCCGCGAAGTGTATTCTGTATTGGTTTGGCAGGGGTGGCGGGGGGAGGCCGCATCGGGTTCGCTTCGCATGCTCCGAATTTGAAGGCAGAGTCTGTTTTGTATTGTCTTTTTGAAAGGGATGGTTGGGGGGGGCCCCTCATTGACTCGGTGTGTCCCCCAGTTGCATGGGGGAGGAGGTGTATATTCACAGGGAACAGTGATCAAGCTGC